GCGGTCAAGTAATTTGAGACTTGAAATACATTGTTCAATATGTATATTATCAATATAAATTTGGTTTATAATCTATGGATGTCCGCCTGGTCTCTAATAATAATTTTTACAAGTTTTATGATGTATCCAATTTTATGTGGCGAAAACATTACATGAATTTTATTCTAAATGGTTATGCAATAATTGGATCTCAATGAAACTACATTAGTGCTACAAACTTGTTTTATTATTAATACATCTTAAAATATCTATTTATTTGATTTTGTAAAGGAAATTCATATTTTTATATAGTTAAAACATTAAAAATATTGATATTTATACGTATATAATACAAGAAAACTTGAACTTAGCTAATCCTAATATTTTGGATAGTTGTAAATGGCATAAATTTAACTGCAAATAATAACCTGTCTAATTTCATAAAGCATTTTTGACAAAGTTATATATCCAAATATTCGAAAATTTGTTTTAAGAGAATAACAAACAATGGCTACAAAATGAACCAATATCAATTCAATTTGTAATTGATAATAAGAAAATTCTACTAACTGCTTCCATTGATAAAAACTATGCTCTTATCTAACTGTAGTATCTGGTAGGCCCCGGAATTCAAAGTTGCAGTCAGGTGTTTCAAATCCATCTAAATTTTCACTACGAATTGATATACTACTATCGTGGCTTCCTTGAACTCTATGAATCTCTTTTTGTTTTTGTTTTTCTATAGTAAGAAATCTGAGTCTCCTTTTTTCAGTTCTGGCTCTGTAAGCTGTATCATCTTTTTCCTCAATGAACATTTTCCTTTCTATCATCTGGTCTTTAAATTTTCCTTTCCATCATCTGGGTCTTTAAATTTTTCTTTCTATCATCTGGGTCTTTAAATTTTCCTTTCCATCATCTGGTCTTTAAATTTTCCTTTCCATCATCTGGGTCTTTAAAGAATTCTAGATCATTATTATTTTCTCTTATTAAACAGTTTTAGCTTTATTTTCTTGACCATCTTGGTGCAAACTACAACCTGATGGAAATAGTTCTTAAGATGAATATGATAGAATCAATGGCGTCAATCTTCTTTTCTTTGTTTTACTACTTAAAGTATCAAAAAAAAAAAAGATAATTGTGAGCTACTACGTTATTAAAATTAATTTTTATTTACAATCAAGTATTTATTTGATTTCCAGAACAACTTTAATATTAATAGAGGGATATTAACTCAAAAACAAATTTAAATAAAAACTTTATTTATTAAACGCTTTTAGATTTAAGAAAATGGCTAAAATAATCACAGAACTCCTGATGAGATTATTGAAGCAACATCAGGTCTTCTGTTCATAGATAATGGTTTCATGCAATTAAGTTGACAACGGACCTTCTAAGAAAGCAAATAATTGATTTGCTAAGAGGTAAAAAAACTAGCTCTACATTTTAACACTAAACAAATTCAAAGAAATTTCAGAAACCCTTAAAATATCTAATGTTAATTAGATATTTTAATTAGATAATTATAATGTTAATTAAATAAATAAAATATCTGTTGTTTATGATTAACTGTTAGCTTTAGTTCTCTAGATGCTCCAGATTGCAACGATTGCTTAGGATTGTACAACTAAAAAATGGTATTGGAGCATGCCAGGCAATAGAACTAATAAAATTATAAGAATATTTTAACAATGAGTGTGTTAATCAACTGTTTGCTTGGTGCTGCGATACAACTAGCAGTAACACGTAAAATCTAACTTCGCTTTAATATAGTTGTTATGCAGGCATCATATATACAAGGTGCATGTTTCATTTCATGTAAGTTCGCACAGGAAAGACAAAAGAATTTCAAAAAGCGAGTTTTTAATTGTGCTGTTTTTTGACTTTACCCTCCAAATCACATAGCTGGAGGGTAAAGTCTCTTGATTTTCAAATCTTCATTATTTTTTCGGACACCTAATGTGTGTGTTTATATATATATATATATATATATATATATATATATATATATATATATATACATATATATATATATATATGCGGTAGTGGTGTAGTGGTAAAACGCTCGCTTTATAAGCGAGAGGTTCCGAGTTCGATCCCCACCACGTCCCTGGTAGTACCAACTTGTTTCACCATGCAGCAGCCTTGTTTGTCAGGAATACGTGTTTCGGAGTTATAGAGTTAAGAGAGGGTTATAACCACTATTAAGTAGCCTCCTCATCTGTAGTGACCTTCTCGGCCTTGAGGAGGTGAATAACAATATATATATATATATATATATATATATATATATATATATATATATATATATATATATATATATATATATATATATATATATATATATATATATGTATATACTCTTGCATGGTCGTCTTTATGCTTTAACCATAAAATGTCAGTTTTATGTTTCTTTTTAATTTTAAAGACTGGAATAACTTTTTTTTTAATTATTTGATAGACTGCCTTCCCAAACCAAACCATCAGCCAATGTGGCAGCACTTTGTTGCGAGTCAGGCTATTT